GGTACTTTGAAAAGGCTGTGTACTAATTTTTCACTGCAGGCTGTTGTGGTGGGTTGACCCTGGCTGGATGCCAGGCACCCACCAAAGGCACTCTGTCACTCCACTTCCCAGGTGGGCAGGGGAGAGAAAATATAACAAAAGGCATGTTGGGACAAGGACAGAGAGAGATCACTCACCACTTACAGTCATGCACAGAACAGACTGGTAAGGGAAAACTCAGCTTATTATCAATCAGCGTAGGATAGTGAGAAATAAAACCAAGTCATAAAAACACCTTTCCCTGACCCCTCCCTTCTTCTCAAACTCAACCTCTCTCCCAAATTATCTTTCCCCCCCGTGGCCAGGGGGACAGGGGTTGGGGGCTGTGTTCAGTTTATCACACATTGTCTCTGCTGCTCCTTCCTCCCCAGGGAATGACTCCACGCTCTTCTCCTGTTCCAGTGGGGGGTCCCTCCCACAGGAGACAGTCCTCCATGAACTTTTCCAACATGAGCCTTTCCCAAGGGTTGCAGTTCTTCATTAACTGCTCCAGCATTAGTTGCTTCCATGGGTTGCAGTCCTTCAGGAACAGGCTGCTCCAGAGGGAGTCCCCTGTGGGCAAACCTGCTCCAGAGTGGACTCTTTTCTCCATGGGTCTGCAGGTCCCTGCCAGGAGTCTGCCCTGTCATGGACTTCCCATGGTGTCGCAGACTCCTTTGGGCATCCTGCTGCTCCAGACAGTGTCTACAGGTGGATCTCTGCTCCTCCATAGGCTCCATGGGCTGCAGGGGCACAGCTGCCTCACCAGGATCTGTACCACAGGCTGCAGGGGAATCTCTGCTCCGGCACCTGGAGCACCTTCTCTCCACCTGCACTGACCTTGGGGTCCACAGAGCTGTTTCACATTCTTGCTTCTCTCTCTGGTTGTAGTTGCTGGGTTTTGTTTTGGGGTTTTTGGTTGGTTTTTTTCCCCTTCTTAAGTACATTATCCCAGAGGCACCATCTGAGTTGCTGCTGGGCTTGGTCTTGGCCAGCGGTGGGTCCCTCCCTGACATTGGCTTTGTTGGACATGGTGGAAGCTTCCAACATCTTCTCACAGAAGCGACCCCTGTAGCCCCTGCCCCCACCCCACTAGTAAAACCTCACCATGCAAAGCCAATAAAGCTATGAATTATTTCAATGAAGTAATTATTTTTACTTAGATGCCTGGTTTAAATGGGAACAACTTTAACACCTACCAAATACAGCCAGAAACAAGCATTTGTGCGCTCTGAAACTTGAATGTAGCTGGTATGAAGAACACCAGCTGTGGCTGCACAGTCGAAAATCATTGCTGCATTTAGGTAGTGCCTCAAAGGAAGTGCTTTTGTGTGCTCTCTTGAGACAAGCTTCTGAAATGATATGTAGGTCTCTTTATTACTATCGTAGTAATCTCTATCCCCTTGCCTGTGGTGTGTGTAATACTTCCCAGTTCTCAAGTCCCACTTCGCTGCTGCAGTTTACTGTAATTGATAGTCCCCGTCACGTGCACCTGGAGGGTTTCCTGCATGTGGCGCAGTCTTAATTGAGTCACTGGAGATTAAACTGGCTGAACAGAAGATATACAAGTGCTGCTGATCATGTTGGAATCACTGCAGGACCTGTAAGGAAGGTTTGGGGTTGAAGGGGTTGCTAATGTTCAAGTCACTGCTGTCATCCCAGTTGCACTCTGAGCCTTTTGGTGCCTTCTTGGGAACAGAAATTCCCACACCAGAGTAGTTTAATGGGGTGCTCAGGCTTCCAAGTCTTTGGAGGTGAATGCTAATTGTTATTTCTGGTCATACCATCATTTCCCAATGTGGATCATGCCAAAGTGACACTGGTGATTAACCTGTCAGAAGTTGTTGCCTTAACGTTCCCTGTGTTAGAGATGTGTTTGAAGAACTGCAGAAGGCGGCAGATACCATCTCTAGTGACCTGGGAAATTGCAAACAGTAAAACATAAATAAACTTCAGGTGGGCTCAGTGGTGCATGCCAGAGTCTGGATATTAAATGGAAGTTCATTATGCAGAAATGTGTTTGAAGCAAGGGCCAAGCAGAGGCACTAAAAGTTTCTTGGTCCAACAGGAAGCATCCTGAGGGTCCACTGTCACTTGCTGCATTAGTGTTCACAGCACTTTATTGAAATACCATTTGAGGGAAAGAAGGGAGCTTACACAGTTGCAGTGTACCAGGAGGTTTTCTGTGCTTTTAAACATGTAATCTTCAAATTAAGCCTGTACAAGCTTTTAGGTTCCCTTATATTTCGAGCAATTTCAAGCAATGGCTCATAGAGGCCCTATATTGACTCTCAGAACTTGAGTAAAAAAACTTTAGTAAATGTCTGCAATATCTGAGCTATTAGACTGCCCATATGGTTAGAATAACTGTGTAACTGAACATGAGAAACTACTGAGATGACCAGATAATAAAAAGAAAGTACCTCATCAGATCAGTGTTATGTTTTGCATATGTGGTCATGTCTGTTGGGCAATTCAGTGCTCTGCTACCGCTTTTAATTATATTTACAAAAATGTAATTAATTGAACTGTAAAAAAATACTTGTAAGACACTTGTTCAGAAAACACAGACCAGCATGACCACTGCAAAAAGCAGTACCAGAGCTGTCAATACTAACTTTAATTCAGAAAAATGCTGGTTTATAAGGTCTATCACTGAATTCTTGATTCATGTTATCTATCCAGAGAGACTGAAAGTGTGTTCAGATATTTTGGGCATTGAAGGATATGTCAGATCTGCTGGTGTTTCTGTGCTTCAGAATTTTTTTATGTATGCCAACTTTCACAGCTGCTTGATTAAAGTCTCTTTTAAGCATTTGCAAAAGAAAGAGGCAGCATTTGTCTGGGTATCAGTTGTTCAGGAAATTTTCCAAAAGCATAAACTGTCTTTCATAAATATTCTCATACTGGTGTATCCCAACTTCTGAAGTTTCAGGATACGAGAAAACGGCTTTGACTATAATTTAGGAGTGCTGTTATCTCAGAATGTGAGTCCTCAAGCCTGACTTCATTTGTTCATATTCATGTTGATTAAGTAAAATATAACTATAGCATTAGTGACAACAAATACTTTTGAAGCAGCCTGGTTCCCCATTTTCTGAGGAAACATGAAAATTGTTGTTTATTGTAGAAATTAAATCAATGTTAAATGAGGGAGTTAATTCTTTTAAAGTTTCCATCTTGCCATCGTCAGTAGGTGAGCAGAAAGGGAACACTGGCAGTCCCAGCAGAAGTTACTAGCCTCTTTCTCAGCCTGATACCAGTATAATAAAATAAACCAGTGTTTCAACCAGTTCAATCCATCCTGTGTCAGACCTCTTAAATACCATGTAAAGGACTCTCCTACCTGCTTTATTAACCTTTTAGGTAATTTAATACTCTTAACTAGATCCAGGATCCTACAGCTGCTTTACTATATCTGGGAGGCAAACAAAATACCCAGGGTGGTTCAACTTCCTTCAGGATTCCCTGGACAAGTTATAATTCTGTGTTAGCAAGATACTTGGGAATCCTTCCCATCTCAAGGATGAGCTACCCTGAAGTTTTTTAATCAAATGAAATTTGTGTTATAACTCTTACTCAGCTCTCCCTTAGCAGATTATCACTTTAAAATTCATTGTTGAGCTCACATCTTCCAGAGCATGAAATTTAGTTTTGTCGTATTTGAAGGCATATTTCCTAGTTTTCCTCCATCACACTGCTAAAAAAAAAATTCTTTTTTTGTAAGCCATAGCTTTTCTTTTCTAATTTTTGTGTTCAGTATTTATCCACATTTTGAAAGGATTGCCAGTTGCCACTTTCCTGTGCTTTACATACAAACAAAAGGGCAAATCAGTAAATGAAGGGTAAATGAAACTCTGGAATAACATGTGTTACAGTATTCATTTTTATAAATGACTGTCCCTTCTCGGAATTTTCATATAACTGCATTCATTCAGCCAACACTCTTCATTGTCTGCAAATCACCAATGACAGTCTCAGTTCTCCTCCCAGCAGATGCCCTCATTCTAGACAGCTTTACATCATTCAGACATCACTTCAAGTCCACGAAGATTTGTAATTGTTTTGGAAAGCTGAAGGCCTGTAGCACTGGAGCAGACAAGTAGTCAGATTTCCCAACCCTATCAGTAGGAGATGAAGTTATATCAAGACAGAGCAGCAACAAACATTAAGCCTGCTGAGAAAACTGGACCTTTAATTTTTAAAACTCGTTAAGTTGCTGGTCAAATCAACTCATGGCCTTGATTTACTCACCTCTTTCCAAGTTTGTGTGTTGTTGCATCACTCTCTTTTAAAACTGTTTGTGAAAAAGCAGTTTATTGAGGAAAATACCATCTCCTATTCTAAGTCCTGGTAGATAGTCATGTAAATCATGGATTGTAGCAGACTCTATAAAGTGGTGGTGGTGACAACTGGGAAGGTCATCTCTTGACCATTTCTTGGGGTGGCCCTGTGCAGAGCCAGGAGTTGGACCTTGATGATCCTCGTGGGTCCCTTCCAACTCGGGATATTCTGTGATTGACAAGGACGTTCAGTGAAGCTGCCAAGACTACACATCCTCCTGCTTTTACAAAGACCTTCTGTCTTGAACACGAAGAGAAGCAGTAGCTGTTTGTAGGTGGGCAGCAGGAAGAGCTTCCATTCAAGAGGAAATACTGGGCATTGTAGGCTTAAACCCAAGGAAATGACCATGTAGAGAAGATGCCTAAAAAGGATGGGCTTGTGCAGGCATGTCATAGACAAGACTCCAGGGGTGGTAATTAATTCCAATTTTGTTCCCAGAAAGCTTCAGTTCTCTTCTAGCTTCTGTCACCACTCCTGGGTTTACTCCTGCTCTGCCCCAGCCCTGCCTCGACTCCATGGTATTGTTCTGCTTCATAATTCTACACAGTCTTGCTGAAATCCTTCAGCCTCCTCATTGTCCTATCTGAGACCTTTTCACAAGAAACTGTAAGGTGGAGAAAGCAGTGACCAAAGATATGTTAAAATAAAAAAAGATGGTCTTGTCAAATCGTCTATTGAGAGTTTCAGGTGATGATACAAGGCAGTTAATCTTCAGGTGTTTCTTTCTGTTGCAGGGTGGGAACAACGCAGGCCATACTGTCGTCGTTGATGGGAAAGAATATGATTTTCACCTATTTCCTAGTGGCATCATTAATCCAAAGGCAATTTCTTTTATTGGTAAGACAGTTATGCAATTTATTATATAAAATAACATTGTATAGTGGATAGCTGCAACTGCATGTTTTAGTAACAAGTAAAGAAAATCATATAAGTGACAGTCAGATTTGCTTCAGCTGTATGACTTCTATTCCACTGCTGCTTTAACATGAAGAATTACTCTACTTTCAGTGTCAGTTTAGTTTCTGCTGTTAGAAAGCTGAGAGCAAGAACACCCTCTTCCTATCATTTTACTCCTTCTTATACTTTATGGTGCAAGTTTGGATTCCACTTGTACACTCCTTTTATACTGTCAGAAATCTGTGTGCTATTTTTTTAGGACACAAACCCCAGGACTTAGGCTAAACAAATAATATAATTTATCTCTGACATCTCTTTACTGACTTTTCAGAAGCAGGCCCCTAGATACCAGACTCTACTTGGAAGGTTGTCATCCAGTCTCCTTTTTGTTCACAGTACCAGCTGTTAAGGGTGATGTTGTATTTTGCTATAAAGATATTTGGTGCAGATGGCATCATAAAAAGGTTTGCATTGCCTACTGGACATTAAACTCATATTCAAATGATAGGCAAATTTAAGGCCCAAACTTATGATTCTTTCTGACAGAAATTATGTACAGTCTGTGCAAGAAATGAGTCTAATTTTAGTGAGTCATGGACTTTCAGTTTTTTTCCATTTGATAATTTCCAAATAAATGATCGAAATATATTAAACATATTTTTCCTCTTAGCTAAACATGCTGTGTTATCTTGCTTTCTGTTTTATTCCCTTGTCAATTAGTAATGACTATTACTTAAGTTTTGCTAAATTTAGGCTGAGACAGGCTCTTGCATGTATTTCTGACGTTCCCAAGGAGGCAGCAGCTGTTTCCAGCCCACTGCATCACTAATCCTCCACATCTCGCCAGCACTGCCCTGTATTGCTTGTGGATTCTATGTTGTGCTCAAAAGCAGGGGTGAAGCATTGCTAATGCATTACAGCACAAGTTCGAGCTGAGTTTAAAACAAATACCTGAGTATTGAAGAAAATTTACGTATTTTCACGCAGGGTTGTCAGTGTGGTAAGGCCACGGACTTCTTTGAGCTTCTCCCTGTGAACAATTGAGGCTGAAGTCGTGGGGCAAAGTCCACCACAAACAAAGACAAGAATCTGCTTACCTCAGCTGGCTGTGCAGCAGCCTGGCGTTCATGCCTGAAACAAGCCCGCTCTGGTTTTCCTGATTTTAGTAGGCTAGTAGCTGCTTACCCAGAATCAGGATTTATCCAAAAAGTTCTCAAGATCACTTTGTGAGAAATTTAGTTTTGCTTTTTAAATAAAACTTCAGACAGCAAGTGTTTACAATGCCTTACTTCCTAAGAGTGAGTATTTTATTCCTCAATTTAAAATAAATCATTTATGTTCCCAAAGGTAATGGAGTGGTTATACATTTACCAGGCCTGTTTGAAGAAGCTGAAAAGAATGAAAAGAAAGGTTTGTATCAAGTAATTTTTAACCTACCTTTATATTGACAGCCAGGTTGAGGTTTTTTGTAAGCTGTTGTTTCTGGCCGTAAGTACTTGGTGCAATAACAGTCTGGATTTTAAAAACAGTATTTAAAATGTTTAATTGTGTTGTAGTCTTCACACATATTTTCAAAATCAATCTTTTCATGTGTTTTGGGGAGTTTTATGGCATTTGAAACCACACTAGATGGAAAATAAATCCTAAAGTGTGTGGTAAGCTCCCTTTGACCTCAGACTGAGATGATTTAACCCAGAGTTTCTGTGCCCAAATATAAACTCAGTTGATTCTGCTTTGAGTGAGGCTTTGGACCCTATGACCTTCCAAGGTCCCTTACTACCTAGATTGTTTTATGTTTCTATATAGAAATCCTCTATTTTCTGAGGCACAAAAGGAGTTTAAGTGATGTATGGTATAGTGAGTTAAACAAGATTTCCTTGAAGTAAGAATTCTGTGTAAGCCACAGCATTATGGCATTAAGAAGTGAGTATCTTTTTCCATGCCAAAATGAGAAAGCTGATAATTTAAAAATGATAAAAGTTTGTTAACAGAAACATTGCTATATTTGATGTTTACTTATGGTTTATAGATTTTATCTGGAGTCTTCTTAACAAGAAGCTATATAAACTTGAAGAAAAGCATAGAAAAACTGAAAGTCAATGTCAAAGTTTGACCAATCAGCTCAGCTGAAATCCTACCTTTCTTTATATCTTCTGACAGGTTTAAAAGATTGGGAGAAAAGACTGATTATATCAGATAGAGCACATATAGGTAAGTGACGATTGAAGGGGGAAAAAAACCTTGCACATGATTGCTTAGCTCACGATGCTAAAGAGGAGTGATGTATTTGATCTAACACAGCTTCTTTATATGTTGTGTGTCTGAAGGATAATAATGGAATTTGTAGCCACTGAAGAGTGATGTTTTACATGTTTTCACAACCTTTAAGGAATACTCGCTCTGTTTTCTCTTGAGGAGGCCTGTGCACTGTCAGTGACAGTAAAGGCACTTTGTCTTGAAATTATGGATGTGCGTGATGTAAAGAATGTTTTTCTCCTTTGGTCTTCCACTAAATCCATTTGATTTTCCATTGCAGTGTTTGACTTTCACCAGGCAGTAGATGGGCTCCAGGAAGTGCAGCGTCAAGCACAAGAAGGCAAAAAGTAAATATTTTCAACTCCTTAGTTTCATTAATAGTTACGCAAATTTGAAAAAAATGGTGTAATTTTGGAAAACAGAAGTGCAGTGTATCTCTAAAGAGTCTTGTTGTTATTCTGTGACTCAGTTCTGCTTCTACTTATGTTAGTGAACAAACTAACAAACTGTCAGCCAGACTCAAGGCTTCACTGCATACCACAAATATTAGCAATATTTATGCAAAGCCTGAAAGTTGGTATATATTTGTTATTATAGAACTTTATTATCTTTTTATGTCTCAGACCTCCTGCCCAATATGTGATATAGTGAAGAGCTCTAACAAAATTACTTGGCATAAAGTGTATTTTTGCATATATTTATACATGTTGGGGTGGGGTGGGTGTTATTTTCACTTAGTATTGGCACAACGAAGAAGGGGATTGGACCAACATATTCATCCAAAGCTGCACGAACAGGCCTTCGGATTTGTGACCTCCTTTCTGACTTTGATGAATTTTCTTCAAGGTAAAACTATTTTCGTTTCTAAATATTATGTTAAAGAGTGATATATTTTGGCTGACAGATTTGCTTTTAAGAGAATGTTTTTAAATATATGTCTGAATTTTGTATATAAATGGTCTAGAAGGAGAAGAAAACTGGAAAGAATGTGTGTGTGTATTTTGTGTACTTCACAGATTTTCTCATAATTTAAAATGTAATTTTGTACATTGGGAAGTGCACTGGTTGAGGTATCAAGGTCCTGGTATTTTCTCCCTGTAGCTGCAAATAATATAACCTGATTTCTTGCCAAAGGTTCTGTGAACAGTGACTATGTTCCTCAGAGATACAATTTCAATATTTTTCAGATTTAAAAATCTGGCACAGCAATACAAGTCAATGTTTCCCACGTTGGAAATTGATACAGAAGGACAACTGAAAAAACTAAAGGTAAGGATTTAGCAGTTGTAATATTTATTTTCATTTAAAAAGTAAAACCGAAGTGTGTACTAGAACTACCACTGATTAAACTAATTAACTAATTTATATGAAAAATGCATGCATTCATTGTTATAAAAGCTTTAATAAGCAGTAACTATGCTCTGTAATAGAATGTTTTCTCTTATTGTAGGCATTAATTTAAACTTTGTGAATGATTTAATTCTCCTGTAATATTTTACTTTTTTGCGTTGTTTAAAATGACTGTTATATTAAAGTAGTCAAGAGAATGCAGGGTGAGAATTTCAGTTAGTGTTCTCCAGTCTTTCTGATGGACTTCCATGATTACTGAAGAAATGTTTGTGGAAACCTTTTCCAGGATCCTGGTATTACAAGAAAATTGTCTTTTTATAAATAGGTTTAGAAGAGACACTGATAAAACAGCTTCTTTCATGAATATGTGAGAAAAGAGGATGATAAAAATATCTCTTACCTTTCCCAAGTTCTATCTCACACTTGCTCAGAGCTGACACCCTAAAGATATTTTTTAATATTCAAAAGGAGTGATCATTTTTTTCTTCTGGTGCTTGCACTATTTCTAAGTCCCGTTCTCAGTGTGTCTAGACTATCAACACACTATCTAGAGACTACGGCAACAAAATTTGCTAAGTATACCACACCTCTGTGAACAGAAATTATACAGAAATTATGGCATTCTAATGCCATAATAGGTCATCTTTTCTTATGTGGTTCAATAGATTGATTTGTTTTCAAATTGTAAACTAGTGGTTGTATTTTTCAGGAAAACACAGTTATTGAGGCTGGAAGCTTAGAATTATCTGTGTGTTTCGTCCTTCAAACGTGAACAGAGTATTCCCTGCTTCCAGCCACTGTCTGGGCAAGCTGACATTTGTACTCAATTTGCAGGGATATGCTGAAAAAATAAGACCCATGGTTCGAGATGGTGTGTATTTTATGTATGAAGCTCTTCATGGCTCTCCAAAGAAGATCCTTGTTGAAGGAGCCAATGCAGCGTTACTTGATATTGACTTTGGTAAGTCATATTCTAAACTCAGTTTAACTCCTAAGAGATCAGTTTTATTTTGATTAGTTTTATTTTGATTTCAGTTTATATTGACTTGGCAAACAGCAGGAAAATAGGGAAACAAAATAGTCTTTCCTTAATAGGAACAGATCTCCCAGAAGTAAAGCACAAATAAGACAGGAATTGTATCATTAACAGAATTAAATGCTTAGGGTTTAAAAATTGATTTTTAGAGAAGTTTATTCCGGTGGAGTTGAAATTTCACTCCAGACGTTATTGTCTTTATTACCTTTAAATATGAGTGAACACATTTCCAGACAATCCAGGCACTCATTGCAGTGCTGCTGAGATAATTCCTCTGCAGTGGAGGGAGGATTAAACTCATGCAGTAACCTGTAAGTCTTGCTGCTTCAGTTTGTCTCTGCTCTGATTTCTTACCAAAAGTCTAATTAAACAACCTAGTTCTCAATGAAAATGAAATGAAGAATTGAGAGATTCTCCAATCAGAAGTCATGGTGTAGAGATTATGAGTAACCTCTTAAGACTTAGACAATTTGTGGCAGATACTCAGAGCCACTTGTGTAGAGCATTTGGAATGTCAGACCATGACCTTTACACCAGGCTCTCTGGATGTAGTGGAAATACTTTCTGTGATACACAAGACATTGAAAAAAAGCTTTACACAGCAGCAGCATCTTATAATAGATCCCATGCCTAATGGATGTAGTATTAAGATGCTTTTCAGCTTCTCCCTTGTGGGCCATTCTCAGTGAAAGTTACCAAGAATGAATGACATGTAGCAAGAAGAATTTCCCCGCTCCTTGGCTGCTGTTTCAGTTTAGCTTTAAAGCCAAACATAGAGGTGAAAATCTCCTTTGAAGTGATAAAGGAAAAACAGTCTTTGTTTCTTACCATTGCTGAAACAGGGTTGTGCTGCTGTGTTTTGACAGGCACGTATCCCTTCGTGACCTCGTCGAACTGCACCGTGGGCGGTGTGTGCACCGGGCTTGGTGTCCCTCCCCAGCACGTGGGTGATGTGTATGGAGTGGTGAAGGCCTACACCACTCGGGTGGGAATTGGAGCCTTCCCCACCGAGCAGATTAATGTAGGTTTAACGTTACAAAGTGTGATGTATACAGTTGCCAACAAACAGCAGTCGATGGAATGGGGTAAGGGTATACCAGGAATAAATAAGCACTGTGATAATAATGCCGAGCAATGGCGCTCGTGAAGAGGAGAATTACATTACAGACTTAAGGTATTTTTCATCAGTGTGATGATGTTATATTGCAGGGACCATGTTTCTGTTGTAGTGAATTATGTGAAAACAGATTTCATCATCTAAGATCTTTAGGTGTATTTCAGTGGTGAGAGTTTGTTGTAGACTGGAACTGTCAGCACGTCAAAGGAGAGCATAAATTACAAGATAAAACTTCTGAGCTTAATAGCCTGTGTTCTGTGTGATTTATAGAATAAATGTGGCATGTGCATCAGCCAGTCATGCACAAATTGATCAATAAAAAGAAGGGGAGAGATTTTGATTACTTTAAACTGTCTACTGTATTTTCATTAGCAAGAAACTAGAAAGCTTAGGTATTGTTTATGAGCTATGCACATGGCAATCTCTAGGTCAGTGTTCCGAATCTAATTTAAGGATTTAGTCACTAAAATCCTTTCTCTAATAACTCAAATGGGTTAGTGGTATCCTTTAAGCTTATGGATCATGAACATGAAGTTTCTTCCTTCTTCATTTTTAGCCCATTATAGACACTGCCAGTCCAAAAGGAACAGTTTCATACTGTGGTAGAACCAGGGATCACTTGACATGGACATGGAGTCTGACCTAGATATTGTACAAGCATTGGTCTTGTCCCAAGCATTTACAGTCTTGTCTGTAAAAACAATAGATGCCAAAAGACCAGATGAAGCAAATACAATTTTAAAGATGGCTGAATTGCCAAGGAAATCTTCCTTTTAGATGAAGAAGGAAGAAAAGTGTCTCCTTGGAACATGAAATAGTCATATTAAATAAGTGGTTTGAAATGCTAATGATTGCAATACAAAAATCCTGTCCATGAGGGACTTTGTTCTCTGCCTTAGTCCCATCCTAGTAAAACTTAACTTTTTTTTCATTTTTGCTTAAAAAAAAAAAGCCTTGAAATTGAACATATTCTTCTTGCTGTTCGTGCAGTTTTTCAGTGAGATACCATCAGCATTCTTTCTGTCTTACTTTAGGAAATTGGAGATCTTTTACAGTCCCGTGGCCACGAGTGGGGAGTAACTACAGGCAGAAAGAGACGCTGTGGCTGGTTAGATCTTGTCATTTTGAAATATGCTCATATGATCAACGGATTCACTGCGTAAGCATCAAAGATTTTGCGCTACATTTGGAAGTGATAATTTTGTGCTTCGCAGAATAAATATGTAGGTAACATTAATATAAGTCCAGTAAAGTGTTACATTTTAAGCAATACATTAATTCACAGTGGGCAACTGAGAATTGTCTTAATGCTAATAATAATCTAATTCCTTTTTTTTTTTTTAATTAAGCAACTTTACGACATCATAGCAGTGATTTTTTTGGTATATGTTTTCACTTTGCTTACCTCAGATGGCCGGTGTAGATTGGATCAATGTATCAGTTTTCTAGCAGTTTGCTCTAGTGTTCTTGATCCAGTGCTTTCATACTGTCTTGTGCTGGGTTTGAGCTTTGGTTGCCTCTAGTGGATCCTACTTGTAGGGCCAATATTGCATCATTTGGAACCACTGCCTCTATAAGTGAAATAAATGGGATGACCCAAAGTATATAGTGGCTGGCACAGTTTCCATTCCAAGTTCATTTATTTACAAAGGCACAGTCAAATGTTGTATTATAAATTCTGCTTTTAATGGGCTGACATTTTTTTTCTTTGGGATGAAGTGACTTACTTGGTTGATAAAATATTTTATAATTCAAAACACATATAAAATTGGCATTTTACAGGAAAAGTGGCTGTTTAAAGGAGCTGTTCATGACCATAATGCCCTCAAGCTAGCTGGTGCTAAAATACTAGTAGCTATCACAAGCCATTAATTTGTAACTAACTACCAATCTGTATCTTCAGAAAAAGTTGCAAAAGTTTCATAACAGTTTTGTTCATATGAGGTGTAGACTTACTGATGCATTCAGGGAAACTTGTTCATATATGCAAACACATGACTGGGAATTTTAATGTATTATAAACTGAGACTTAATTTAATATTGTTTATGCTACTACTGATATTACAAAGGAACAATGGTCTTGTTCATTAATTTATCAGAAGGACTTTTAGGTTTTGGGTTGGTTTTTTTTTTTACTTGGATTTATATTTTGCTTTAACTTACACATCTCAGGCTGGGGTCCTTCCTACTGAACTGCAAACGTGGTTTTAGTAACCAGACCGTGCTTGCTCTGTTATAAAAATGTAACTTAGTAAATAAATCTGTCATGGAGTTGTTGTGAATCAGTAGGAGTACTAAAAAGTCACTGTCAATGATGTCAAATGTTGTACCCCCCCCCAACCAGGCCCCTCAAGTGCCACTTCACCTAGTGTGCATTTTCATGCACTGAGCTGAACACTGTGCACCTGTGTGAGCAGCCAAGAATTGGGAAATGTGTTGTAGCAACTCAGTCATGTATTCATTCCAGAGGCGTAAATTGAATTAACAGTGTTCATAGTTTAATGCATTTATGTATTTCTGCTGGCTGGGCTGCCTGAGCTGGACTTTGGAAAGGGAAAAAAGAAAAGGTGAAAAGTATTGAAGAGGAGATCATTATATGTGTAATTTTAACTGATGTTTTTCTGTGCAGTTTGGCATTAACAAAACTGGATATTCTCGATGTCCTTGATGAAATTAAAATTGGTGTTGCCTACAAATTGGGTGGAAAAAGAATTCCATATTTTCCAGGTAAGTTGTTAAACATCTATGTTCATTTTTATCTTTTCTGCCAGTTAAGTCACACCTGTAGGGAAAGACTGTTTGCTTTTTAAAATCGGGCTTGATTTCTTGTTCGCTGGACCTTCTGTAGCAATTTGTGGAGCTGCAGTATCTGTGTAAAGGCAGCTGTACCAGTACACTGATTTTTTCATTTACCTTGAGTCTGTGTACAATGGCAAGATCTTCAGAGGAAATAAAATCTTGTGTTAGGGCTTTTCTATGTCTTGTCCCATTAGATTTTTTACTGGCAACACCAGGGATCTGAAAGTCAGCAAGACTCGAGTCAGTGACTCCGTATCATTGGCAATAGCCTTTAGTGAAGTAAAGTTATAATAAAAACAGTGCTTAAGCTGTGCAAATATGAGGTGGATACAAGCAGAATAAAGCTGCTTCTGGAATTAACAGCAACAACACTGTGGTTAATAAAAGTATATATTGCCCCTCGATAATGATTCATGTTAAAACTTTTAAGATGTAATAATATGTAATTTTTTTTACATTAATTATGTTTTCAAGATCCCTGTGACAGTCTGTGCCAAGATGAGGGGCTGGTTCTGTTGAGATGGGGGATTCTGGAGGCATGGGGTAGGCTGGCAGCAGCCAACTTTTCCACCACTGCTTGTACTTCCTTGGTGTGGACACAGTGAAAATTCCAGGGGGAAAAGCGTGCAAACATCTGAGTTTTTCACAAGCCTGATTTAACCCTATTCCATAAAGATAAAAACCTTTGAGACAGTAGTGCCTTTTCTACTGTTTTATTATGTGCTAGTCTAAAACAAAAAGAGGAACTACTGTAAACCTTAAAAAATCTATTTCCTCAAAAATAAAACAGTAGTGTTTTTATTGACTCTATGTTGACAGAATAGAGTGCATCCTACAGTTTTTAGAAGAGGAAGCTGGATTTCTGGATCTTCTTAACTCAGACTTATCTTCCTAAATGTTGTAAATAAATCTAAATTAAGAATGAGTGAATTAATGAAAAAACAGTAAAAATACTATTTTTTTATATATCAGATTTTAAATGTTGTCGAAAGACTTTTTTGGTCAAGAACCATAGGTATGTTCTATTAAGGTGGAGCAGCTAAAATCAACTGTGACAAAAATTGCTCTCCCACAGCTAATCAGGAGATACTACAGAAAGTGGAAGTAGAATATGAAACAATGCCTGGGTGGAAGACGGACACAACTGGAGCACGAAAATGGGAGGACCTCCCACCCAAGGCCCAGAATTACATCCGTTGTGTGGAAAACCATGTTGGCGTGCCAGGTAAGCCTTTCTGCAGGTGTCCATAGGAGGATGCCACAGGAGGCAGGCACAGCTCCATGGAAGCTCTCAGTCTGTTAGTCAGAAGTCGCTCGGTTTGGGCAGGAGGCAACAGAAGTACCAGTGGTTGGGCTGATGGTGGTAAAAGACAGCTTGCCAGGAAGCAGCAAAGGGTGTTCAGCAGGCAGGTCTGCAGTGCTGCAGAGAGCCCCAAGCTGCTGCTGGCAAGGATTTAACCGGGGAAAGATAAATGTGTGTTGTTCTTGGCAAACTGCCACCTTCTGTCAGTGAAAACTTTGGGGTCTGTGCACCATGCTTCAGTGTGTGCTTGGGCCAGCATCCTCATCTCTTCCTTTCTCTCTGCGTCCTGCACTGCATCCCTCTCTGAACAGAGAACTTTTTTTTCCATTCTTACTCATATAAGGAGAGGTATTGCATAACAGAGATGAGACTGTTTAGCCCGGTTCTGCCACTTTGGAAAAATTGAAAATCTTAACACATCGATCTCCAAAGGTCAAGCCATCCAGTTTTCTTCTAGAGCTCTAGAGGTGCCAAGAGCTAGGTGTGGCATAAATGGTGGTGTTTGCAGGGGAATTTCCACAATAGCAAGCTTGGAAAGATGGTAGGTGTGCTTTTGTTTTCCATAAAGCACCTCAAAGGTCGCCTCAGAGCAGTATGGGCTGGTTACAACTGCGGCGGTTCCAGTATTGTTCATGGATCAGGAAGCATCTGATAGCAGAGCTTGAAACTCAGTGTGTGGTCAAGGACACAGATGTGGGTGAAGGGATATGTAAATAAAGCTCCCCTTACTTTATTTCTCTGGTTCTCTGTGTGAAAGCAGGCTGCCTTGGTGGGTTTGATAAAAGAGACTTACCTACAGTCAATTCTTTAGTAACTATGGGCAATAAAACTGTAGTGGAACCGTTACAGTGTGGAATTTACTGCTCACACTGGATAATGTTTATAACCGCAGCCTCATATTTATCAGTATTATGGCACATGGGTATCACTATCTCCTGCTCCACATCACAAAAAACTTCAGAGTCTGGCAGAATTCTGGCTTCCTCTCTGTAGGGATGTAGCTAAACATCCTGTCACTCAAGACAAGGACAGTTAAACCTGCAACAAATGTGCCTGACCTTCTATTAGGCCCTCTACCTGCAATGCTTTGTGTTTATGGTATAATTATTTCATACTTTCAGCCTTCAGTATACTGCACTTTCTAGTCTGGTAGTGCAGCTGGAGTAAAGGGATTTTTGACAATGAAACTTCCTTCCTAAATTTGTCCAGTTTGTAGTGAAGCATGATGAGAGGTGAAAATTATTCCAGTTCATTGATTGCAATATTTACTCTTGGTAATTGTTCTAACAGATGTGTTTTCCTCCCTAGTTAAATGGGTTGGAGTTGGGAAATCAAGAGAGTCGATGATCCAGCTGTTCTAAACAAATGAAGAACTCCAGTGATGAGAAGCACAACGTGGCGTTCATCAGTCCCTTACTGCTTCCCTCTTTAAATGGAAATGCTATTTAAAACAAACATATTCTTCTAGGAATTGAATAGAAACACAACATATATTCTGTATTGTAACATTGTATTTATCTTTAAGTTCTCAGTAAATTCAGTGTAAAATCTCCTTGTTGGCCATCTTTTAAAAAAGTCCAAAAAGTATTCCTAACAAAATAAGGAAAGTTTTTTTTACATTTGATCCATGTTACTATTTGGAAGTACTTTATACCTATATAGAGTTACTTCTTGCTGAAACCAGTATTAAGCCTTTTCCAGTAGCTACTGGTTAACTTTAGAATTGTGAAACTTGGATTTGTTCTTCAACTTCAAATGTTAAAATGTCTGTATATCTGGGTTGGCAGTACTAAGATAGGTACCATGCACTGAAATTGGTTGAATTATAAAGATTTTCAGTTTCTAAAATACAGCAAAGTTAGGTAGGTATTTTTGACTGCACAAAGCAAAGCAAACACAATTATCTATAATTTTTATATAATTACTTTTAATGACCTATTGAAATGAATGGAAAGCAGCTAAAATATATTTCTTATAAAGCCTATTGTAGGAACTGAGATAACATCTGTAGCGGGGCCAAACTGGAGAAAGCTGACCTGTCTAATAATGCTTTGAACTATCCTGTGTACTAACAGCCTGGAGACTGTCAGGTGTGCAGCCTTTATTTTAAGCAGTAGGGGAAAGGAGTGAGTGAAGGTGGAAGGAAGAGAGTCCTCAAGTTACAAAACACACAGGGAGAGTGGAGCTGAGACAGCACCACTGCATTTTCTCCATGAACCTGAGACATTTCTTCCTGCTAGTGCTGTGACTGTAGTTTCCAAAGTTTTACTGTAGTACTCTGTTGAGGAACTTGTGACTTGCAGTTCTGTAAGGCACTCACTTCCACGGCTCCTGGGTTTCCAAGAATAAATCAAGGCATGACTCAATGATGACTGCTGCAGTATTTACACCCCTCACTCATTTTGACCTTCCTCAGCAAAATGTAATGACTATTTATAGAAGGGGATGACATGTGACAGCCAGGGTTGGGGCATGTAGAAACCATGGAGAGATCCCAGAATCTTCAAGAATACACTTGGATTTCTTCGTGGATCTTCTAATTTATAATGGTTATGCATCAAGAGCTCTCAAAAAACTCCTCTTGTAGAGGAAAAAGAATACACTAGAGATGGGGTTATTCCCTATCTGTGAAATTTTCCACGTAAATGTTCCTTTTCTATTTATGTGTAGAGCTATGACAATATTTTTGTATCATTTCCAAGGGCTGTGGAAATGGCATCACAACCTCAGTAATGCCATTATGCAGTGTGTGAAAATATCCCTTTTCGGAGATGGTCACTCCAAGGGTGCAAACAATTACACTCCTGGCATTCCAGATGGGGGAAAAGGAAAACCTGTCCGGAGAATCTTGTGTCCTACTCATCCCCTGTGTCTTTTCTCACTCAGTGTTGAACAGCAGATAATGTTCAAAGCCATTCGTGTCAGGCAGGGCTTAAAGAAGTACCAGTACAAAGCACTAAAGGTAGCTGTGTATGGTTGTATTGCTGCTTTGTGAGGCAGAACTCTGACACCCTCCAGCTGCAGTGCAGTCTCTTCGTGCCCCAGTTCATCACGGACTCTGTCCCTTTTTCTCTAACAAAAAACAAACAAACAAAAATTAGAAAAACATCTTCACTGCCTTTTGGAGGTCCCTGGGTTGAGCCCTGCAGTTCTTTCTCTGAATTGATGAGGAAGCTCTCCCCATCATATTTATGGGTATTCTAGTGAAAGAGCAATGAGATTTCTGACCTTATTTAATGTTTGCAAAGCACTTCTGAAAGGTGCTTGGTAAGTGCTAATTATTACAAGCACTGTGAAGTGTTCCTCATTTATATGAGGTAATTTAAGCATAAAGATGCTTGGAGGTATAGTAATTAAGTTTTGTTTTCACATGGCTTAACCTTGTGACATTTGCCTTCTGAATGATCTAGAGCCGTTCCTTTTCTTGGCCCCATCTTCATCAGTGCATTTGTGCTGGGAGGTTTCTGCTGTATTTAAGCTTTGGTTGGTTTATAGGCAAAGTCCACAATGACTAAGAAGCCACTCCGTGTGCTGAATAACTGGATTAAATGATCAACTCTAAACTGAGTATTTGGCATATTGAAGATAATAGGTTTTATAGTTTAATTTTCACAGGATTACTTTCTCTTGTTCACCTAATCTTTTTATTTTCCATTTTCCATTAAGTATCTGTTAGATCCACATGGCCTGTCTTTGCTTCCAAGGATTCATCAAAAACCCAGTGAGATTGTCAGTGGGCATGATGTAATAGTCAATTATCCCATGACTGTTACTGTAAAAGTAATATACATTTCATTTCATAGCATGGATATTTTAAATGAAAGTTCTACTCCTATTAAATTTCATATGTGTTGTCATTGAGTTAAATGTGAATAAGTTCAGGCTTTTATCAAAAAGCTCTTTAATCTACTGAGTGACACAATGCTTAATAAGAACATTTTAATGTAGATTTCCCTTCATTTTGGCTGTTTCCCCATGTATATTGTTTTGTACTGTTTGGAATTTCATTTAATAACAATCACTGTGTTGAATTTAACTACTTCTTTATCCCAAACCAAATGCAATAATAATGGCTAAAACTGGTTGATGCATCATCCTGTTCAGTATCTGGATGGAAGAATAAGGGTAAACATTTACCAAAATGCCATAATTTGTGATAAAGGTTATAGTTTTTTAAAAGTAGCAATTACTGTTTCACACCTGCACAGTAATGTGTTTGACATATTTTCTCACACTTACCCTTACGATATGGCCTTCTAGTCAGGTGTACACTTCCTAACACATGCAGGATAGGATTTTGAAGATTTTGTAATTTTTTAATTTGGCTATATATGGTCTTACAGTTCTGGCATAATGCACTTTATAAAAAGAAAGAAAATTAAGCATTTCCATAGTAAATGTGCAATCTATACTTACACTTTATGCAGATTTTTTTCGGATGATTTTTGATCCACACCTGTTTATTTTCTCCTTAAAAATGTATTAAAACAAATTTAAATTAACAGTGCTTGGTCTCTATTTCTCTTTTATTTTTTAACAAAATACTCTTCATACATAAACCTGGTTTAGTATTTCATAAATTTTAGAAAATAACTAGTGAATGAATGGATATTTTCTTTCAGTCTACAGATTTTCATCCTTTGGCCTTTTTTTACACATTCTATAAACTTTGTCACCCTTTCCCATTTACGAACTGAGCAGGGATCCACCTTTAATACTGACATTCATGGTTATATTCAGTTAGCTGGCCTGAGTGACCAATGGTTTTATGAAGGAAAAACACATTTTCTAATTAATGCAAAAAATATTCTTGCTAAAACAGCTGGCTCAGAACAACTGATGTGAACTCCATGAAGCTTTTTATCAGCATCACTGTGATAGAAAAGAAAAGCAGATGCTGGCTCAGATAAATAAGTGTCACCTCTAAAATGTGAGTCAGCTTCAGACATGTACTGTTAGGGCTTCCAGAAGCCTTTACAGAATCATTCTTTTTCTCATGTGTTTTAGAAGAAGCCAGAAACAGCAGGTAAGGGACTTGTCCCGTAAATGACAGCAGGTAAATACACAATTCAGGGCAATGCCTGAGAGCTGTGTGAGAATTGATCTGCTAATTAACTATGGTCTCTTCATTTCCTTTGCATCAGTTTGTATAATTGCACATAGAATGGTTTTTGGTGGCTGAAGCACCTGAAGCAGTTTCATCTAACTCCACATTGGGCTGGAACTGCCCAACGCAAAAAAACCCCCACCATCACATCACCACCCAAAAAAACCCCAAACAAACAAAACAAAACAAAAGAATAAAATAAACAAAACCAACCAAAAAACTCTGGGGGAGTTTCTCTGCCAAAATTGCCCATTTGGAAAGTTCTTTGGTTTGTTACTGGTGTGTTTGTTGTCTGTCACCTGGAGAGCTGAGTCTGATGACTGGGAGGCAGGAAACAATACAGACTTTCCTGCCCCTAACCTCTCCTAGTAATACTTTACATGGGGTAAAGCTCCAGCCCACTTGTGGAAATGGCCCAGCTTCCTGTGCAGCAACTTTTCATGTCCATCAGAGAGCTGGTTTCAAGTGCTGGATGTTTGCAAAAAGGATGAGCTGACATCACCCTTTTAAATGGACATCAGGCAAGGAAGAAAATCCAGCTCCAATCGTCTTATCTTTAGCAGTCCCTGTTCGTGGTACAGGCACTCCATCAGGGGTCTAACCTGTGCATTTGTTGGCTACTAATAAGTGAGTGTGTTAGTGCTTGTTTCATCTCTTTATTAGATCCATGTTGCCAGTGAAGAAGAGGATGCCTGAGGCATGGAGCCTGCTGGACTGCCACAGTGCTACATGGATTCATGGCATGTGACAAGTGGTACAGCACAGGCTGCTTCAGGGAGGTAGGAAGCTGGATTCTTTGCTTCCTGAATCACTGATCCATCACAAACAAGCTTTGATATGAAAGTATTTTACCCTTGGATGGGGCTGGCTGCGCCTCTGCATATTGGTCAAATCTAAAATGAAATATTATCCGTGTAGACATCAGCCATAGAGTGAACCATTAAAGAAGTAAAGAAATCCCACATAAGGACGTCAAGATTTTGCCATTTAATCTCCCATATACTTACAGGAAATTAGTTGTTCTAAAATACCTTCATGCATTATTAATATCTGTACATTTGTGGAGTAGACACTGCTTGTTAAATATTTGCCCATCAGTCATATGAGATGGTAAGAAAAAGAAAACAGGAGAGAAGGTCTTCTGTAAGCACATACACTTTACAGCTTCCATTAATGTAGAAAATTCTGGCCAACAACTGCCTTTTTCAGTGGTTGAAAACAGTACAAATTTTAACACTGTCTAAATAAATGTGTTTGGCAAGAAAAAAAATAATATCTTTGTCAGAAAAAATAAACCCAACACTGGTGTATTTGAACATTTTCACAGTCTTGAGATAATGCATCTTTCCTGTGTCAGGCGTCACCTTTCAAGAGCTGAACATGCACTCCAAAGTTTACTCTGCAGGCTTGTAGAGTCTCAGACAGCAGTGTTGGGCTTCAGGTGATACCTTTACAGCGCCTTAGAAAGTGGCAGAGCACTTCAGACAGTTTAGGTGGCCACTGAAATCCTTAAAATACCGTGAGTAGAGGCACTGGAGACATGTTTTCTTGCAGGCTGCAGGATACAGTCAACTGTACGCGTCCTTCCAGCAGAGGTGTCAGTGTCCATCTTCATCTTCCTGGATGGGACACAAAACTTTCCGTGCTAACTGGGCCTAATTCTTCAAATGTGAGGAAACAGTGTTTGCTGCTGAGGTTTGTGGAAACCTGGCTGGCCTGTAAATGGAGATAGTCCCATGCAAGTGGAGGCAGCATCTGACAAAATGAGAAGCTTGGAAATGCAGTCACAATCATAAAAACTTGTTTCATGGTGTTCTTTGCTTCTGAAGAGGAAACTCCCAGTGTCAAACCTACTGTATTTAGAGTCCTGTTTCCATTGAGATTCTTGAAGTAGTGCAGCCCTCTGCCACAAATGGAGACCTGTCCTTTGAATTCTGAGTTCTAGATGGCTGACAACAAATGGCAAAGACCTTGGTAAGCTTGAGGGCTTGGCAATGGAAAGCTCCTGAAGTGCAGGAAGAAGTGAAGGGTTTCCCATGTCTCAGTACAGATTGGGAAACAGCTGGCTATGGAGAAGCTCTGCTAAAAAGGATCTGAGGTTTACAGCAGATGCCAGGGTGAATATGATGCATCTTAAATAAAGCAAGTGGCCTACTGGGCTGTACTGGGGGAATAATGGTCAGGAGATGAAGAAAGGTGTTTTCCATTACTCACATTGGTGAGTAGTACCACTAATTCCTACTGCACATCCATGGGCATCCATTGTAATGGCATGTTTTATATCCTTAAGAATTGGGTGAAGAAGAAAGGGAGAACTGGGAAGATGATGTGACATTCTAGTTTCTTCAAGAATCTGCCTTGCAACAGGTAAGACCAGCTACGGTCCCAGTGCACAGTCACGTGTATGTCAGTGCCACTGTTACAACTTTGCTGCTCAGTTACCACCCCAAAGCATCAAAACCAGGCAATGCAGTTCAAATTTTGAGCTTTTCATTTCATGCTCCAATTTTCTTCTGCTTCAGTTGTTCCAGCCATCGAGGCTGTGCCCTTGTGGTGCCCTTGGCAATGACCATTATCACTGTTTCACACTTTGGTTTGCTCTACAAAGTAGTGCACCCAGTTTGGGTTCCTTTCCCATGGAACCAAACAAGAAATGCTCTCCAGCAGTGCCCCTGCTATGCTCCAGATACTACTCAGAGTTCAGTCCATGGGACCTGACAAGAGCTGGTCAGAAGCCACCCTCCACCTACAGTGTGGATATTGGGTCCTGAGCCCCAAGTGCTTTGTGTATTTCTTCTTGTAGTGCTGCACTGCCTGCTAATATAGACACAGCTTTTGAACATCAGCCATTCCATCTCCTCTTATCCAGTTCTTTTTCCACTTTATACTGATCCCTAACTAATAAGCAATTATTTCCTATATGTTTCTATATCAAATGCTTAATGAAGTCTAAATAGGTTATAACCACCTCATTTCCTTTATCCATAACATCAGTTATTATTCAAGATACTCAGAGGTCATCTATTGTTAAGTCTACTTTACATTTTATCCCATTTTACATTTACCTTCATGTTTTTAGTGAGCCTTTCCTTGAAAATATTGCTAAGTCTTATGAACTACTGAGTCTAGGCTGTTAACCCTCTGGTTGTCAGCATGACTTTTTCCCTGCCTCCTGTGAAAGTATTTCACTTTCAGTTCTCACGTAATACAATACCACTCTCAACTCAAAAGGTTATTAAAAGCATTTCTCCCTGCCTTGAAATTGCATAGAGCCATTCTTTCAAAATTCAGGAATGCAGTTTGTAGCTGGACCAACAGGGCCTCAGTCATATCTAAGTGAGATAAAATACAGCTTGAAGACATTTACTAAGTTCACAAAAGGTTTTCCTTGCCATTCTGAAACAGCATTAAGTTTCTATCTATAGCTTCTAAAGGAGATTACTGGAAAAGGGAACTAAGACATCAAACCCATTCCCTGAGGATTTGGTCCACTGATTTTAAGTACATACATTCTGCAGAAAAAATGAGAATGTGCCTTCAGTGATCTCTAGTTGCTTGTACTGGGTACTGAAATAAGTAGCATCTCCAACTTTGCCAGAAGAACTGAGGTTGGAATGGGAACAAAACAGCAGGAAGTTGATGTGCTGAGTGCTGAACTTGGCCTAAAGAACAGCCGGTGTCTGGGACAAACTAGGGGGTGGCTGGAAATTTTTACGAGCTAGGAGGAATGTCGGGCTACTCGCCTTCATTACTCAGTCGGTTATTCAGTGCCAATATCACAGTTTTATATTCAAGCCAGTTTCAGTGGTGATACATTTGTTTATGTAGGTAGCTCATCCTAGAGTTTAGGTAGTGATAAAGAATCAGTATTAGAAACAGAGCCAGTACTGAGCACCTTCACCAGCAATCTCGAGATCTTCTAAATCTTGGAGACAGGAAAGGAGGAAAGGACAGGACTGTGTCACACCAATATTTTCTCTGAAAACCTCATGCAGAAGAAAAAAAAAGATGAATGCATATGCATGGCAGGAACCTACTGAGCATAAATTTACAGAATAAGTTATGATGCATTTTAATGTACACGAAAAAGAGGTCAAGTGAAAGAAAAAAAAGAGATGTTGTCTAGTTAAGGCATTACAAATGGGATAAGGCATTTTGTCTATTTGAGATTGATTTGCCCCACACTACATAATTAAAATACGAAGGCTGGTACTGATGGAAGTCAGGGCCCTATGCAAAATGCATTGATGATTTCCATGCAGGGGAAACATGCCAGCAGCATGAAAAAGTCTCATTCTATTAGTTGGCACCCTGGATGGTAGGCCTAGGACTGAGCATTACTTTCACAGCTCACACCACACCACTCATGCGAACTGCTCAGCAGAGAGCCAAGAGAATGA